TCCCGAGATCGAGTCCCGCATCGGGCTCCCTGCTCAGCAGGGGGTCTGCTTCTCCCTCTGACCCTCCTCCCTCTCATGCTCTCTGTCTCTCATTCTCTGTCTCAAATAAATAAATAAAATCTTAAAAAAAAAAGTATCCCCCAACTTTTAATATATCTAGAATGGGAACTTGTTGCAGAAAGTCATTAAAATTATAGTCAAATTTTGTACAACATAAATAACTGGTAATGCATTTCGTCCAATGATATATACACACATAAGATATAGATTAATATATATTAGAATGTAATTGGCTCATCACTAGACAATCCATTTTTGTGTTACTTTACCTTTGGATATCTCGCCTATAATCACCTGAGTTGAAAAATAATTGGGCTACCAAAGGTTGAGTTATATTTATGAAGTTATCTCCCCTGAGTGGCTACTTCAGCAGTAATGACAAACTATTCTTCATTTTTTCAAGAAGGAAAAAATAAATTGCATCCCCTTCAAATTATGACCTCAAAATCCCTTGAGAATAGCATGTGAAGACCAAAGAAAGATTTACTCATAGTAGCTTGCCAAAGTTATTTGGGTAATACCGTTCTTCTATTGCTTATATTTTCAGAGTTTTGGGTGGTTCCCCCCCCTTTTTATTTACTCATGGTTTGGACAGCTTGAGACTTGGAGAACTCTCTTACAAAGTGATACTAATATAATTTGTGTGTAAGTATTTTCCAGGCTAATGGCCAATTTCAGGTGTCTAAAATCAATAAGATTGATTAAAATAAGCAACAACTCCCCTAGGTCCTCACCTCCCCATTCCTAAAAAATAAAAAATAGTATAGTTTTAAACTTAGCCCAGAGAAGTAGGTACCCTCTGGGTACACTGGAGGGATATTTCTAGACTGATCCTGAAAGGAATGGATTCATGCTAAATCACCCAAAGTTCAAATAGGGAAAAAATTTGTTTCTCTAGGTATTTGAGGGTTATTCTTCTTATCCTGAGGCACACAATCTTTTTTTTTTTTCCATTTTTTTTAAACTTAAATTCAATTAATTAACATAGTATTTTTGGTTTCAGAGGTAGAGGTCAGTGATTCATCAGTCTTATATAACACCCAGTGCTCACTACATCAGGTGCCCTCCTTAGTGTCTATCACCCAGTTTCCCCATCCCCTTGCCCCTCTAGCAACCCTCAGCTTGTTTCCTATGATTAAGAGTCTCTTATGGTTTGTTTCCCTCTCTGATTTCATCTTGTTTTATTTTTTCCTCTCTTCCCCTATGATCCTCTGTTTTGTTTCTTAAATTCGTCATACGAGTGAGATCATATAATTGTCTTTCTCTGATTGACCTATTTTGCTCAGCATAATACCCTCTACTTCCATCGATGTCATTACAAATGGCAAGATTTCATTTTGTGATGGCTGAGTAGTTTTCCATTGTAGATATGTACCACATCTTCTTTATCCATTCATCTGTCAATGGACATCCAGGCTCTTTCCATAGTTTGGCTATTGTGGACATTGCTGTTATAAACATTGGGGTGCAGGTGCTGAGATGCACAATCTTAAAACAGTTTGCAGAGCTCACCAAACAATAGTTGAATAATTAATGTTTACTTTATTTAACCATGAAAAAGTATAATCTTACATCTAATCTTAATCTCAATCTTTGAACTAGAGACTGGAGTACTTAGATTGTCATTTATCCCATACCATAGGTCTGACCTTTGTTGAAAGTGCAGAATCCTAGAAAAGCTATATGCATACACCTAGGTGTAGATACTCCCTCGGTAGTAGATTTCACTAGTCTGTACATTTTAAATGTTTGTGTGGGGGTAAGTGTGTGTGTGTGATGAATGTGTATACACCCATGGTATTTTCAGGATTTGCTATTCTGTGAATTTTAAATCAAATCATTTTTACGCTTATTTCCCAGTTTCGTGCTTTACTTAGGCCTTCACTGGTTTGATGGCATAAATCTATGTCTCGTGTTTACTCTTGGGATCCCCACATGGGTGCATCCATGCGCTCACAGGTCAGTCTACCCAATAAAATCACCATTTAATAAACCCCGTATTTTCTTCTTCTGCCTCAGCTCTCCTGATAAAGTCTACCACATCTCCTATCTTATTCCCAGTCTGACTTAAAGAACTTCACCACTGCCACCATAGATGGTGTCCTGCCTGGAAGTCTCAGTGTCTATGTAAAGGATACTGTCTCTTCAACCTGTCGAACTCCTCACTTCATTGGTGCCCACGTAATGCTGCTATTGCGCAAAAAAACCTGAGCCCTTCCTCTGATCCTCATCCTTGGGCTCCAGAATAGCAGACTTCAGTCTTACAGAAGGTCTTAAAACGTGTCCTTCCCTAGAAGCAAAGACACTTGAGAAGTAATGAGCACTCCTAAGACCCACATCTTGGTGTTTAATACTTTTCACCAGTAAAATGAACTAGAGCTTCTCCAAGAAATGTTTCATCCAAGCAATGGGACAAGAAAAGCACAGGAAGAAACTGGAATATATTTTTATATCAGAAACTAAGAGTTCTTTTTAAATGCTGACATTTTACAAGGACACTGTTGCTAACTTGAACAGACTCCCACTAGCCAAAAACTGGGATAATTTGAGTGCCAAAAATAATGAGAGAGAATAAAAGGTTATATAGTGGAGGGGGGAAATCCATGAGGCCATACTAATGATAGAAGATGATAGATAGATAGATAGATAGATAGATAGATAGATAGATAGATAATAGATAAAGGAGGGCTCTTCCTTACAGTAGGATACCAAGCACAACTGATATTATATATGGGGAAAGTGTTAAAGCTGGAACATCATAGTTTTGGAAGCATCGCATTAATATTGATTAAAGCAAGAATTATCAATTGATGCTACATCTTACAACATGAGAGGGGAATTTTGATGAGAGTCAGGTATTTATATGGTATAAAATGCCATCTCCTAGAGATTGCTTATTAGCTGCAAAAGAAAAGTATAGTAGCTATCCAGTGGAGAAATCAAGCCTTGACTGCATATCAAATTAACATCATCTGTGGTTATCAAATTAACATCAATTAACATGGCTACATATGCTTCTGGAGGGATGCCCTGAGTAGCACACAATAAAATGTGTAGAGTATTTTTTTAAATTTATTTTATTTTATTTTATTTTATTTATTTATTTGCGAGAGAGAACGAGAGACAGAGAGCACGAGAGGGAGGAGGGTCAGAGGGAGAAGCAGACCCCCCGCTGAGCAGGGAGCCCGATGCGGGACTCGATTCCGGGACTCCAGGATCATGACCTGAGCCGAAGGCAGTCACTTAACCGACTGAGCCACCCAGGCGCCCCTAAAATTTGCATAGTATTCCAGCCAAGAATGCATAACCAGAATCTAATGAAGAAATTTCAGACAAACCCAAGCTGAGAAACATTCTATTTTTAAAAGGTGGAAAGGGGGAAGGTTATATTCTTCAAAAATATTTTTGTAATAGAAGACTGAAGAACCTTTCCAGAATAAAGGAGACAGAAGGGCAAGACAATCAAAAGAAATATGTGATCTTTGAATGGAATATATTACTGGGCCAGTTGACAAAATTGGAATATGAATGGTAGATGGTAAAAGTATTGAGTCAGTATGAAATTACTGAAATATTAGGGCTAAAGGGCTGTGATGTATACAACTTAATCTCAGATGGTTCAGAAAAAAAAATTACATGCACGCATTGATAAAGTTGGAGAAAAGAACAAATGTCAAAGCAAATAGAGCAAAAGTTTAATAGGTGAACCCAGGTAAAGAGTACCTAAGTGTGGTTCGTACAACTTTGCACAGCTTTTCTGTGGGTTTAAAATGCTTTCCAAATAAAAACTTTCTTTTGCAAAAAGCAATTTTGAAAATTTCGACCTTTAGTATCTTCATTTTTATTTTATTTTTTATTTTTTTAAAGATTTTATTTATTTATTTGAGAGAGAGAATGAGCACAGGAAAGGGGGTAGAAGGAGAGGGAGAAGCAGACTCCCCGCTGAGCAGGGAGCCCCACTGGGGGCTTGATACCATGGCCGCGGGGTCATGACCTGAGCTGAAGGCAGACACTTAACCAACTGAGCCACCCAGGTGTCCTTCATACTGGGCTCCTAAGACAACCAGGCATAAAAGGAGGGTAGGGTATTTGCTGCTGCAGCAATCAGCCTCGGCTGTGCTGGGCAGTGAGCACGGTAGAGGATATGGCTGGAACCCTTGAACCAGTGGCAAATGTTAAAGGAATAACTTAGTCCAATAAAGATAGGATTTCTAAAGCCTCCATTTTCTCAGAAATGAAGCACCGCCACTGAGTAGAGAAACCTAACAAGCTAAGATCCTGGCTGAAGGCAAAGGAAGATGGAATCGGTGGTGGGAAAGAAAGAAAAAACAAATGTCCACCACATCCCCGTGACCAATTGTAGAAAAAGGGACTGTTTCACTTAACCTAATTTACCCAGCTTCTCAGTTTTAAAATGTGTATTGTATAATTACTTTTTTCATTTCTTTTATCTCCCTCTATTTCACTACTTTATATAAGGTGTGTTAGTGGTGTTTAACTTTATCATTTAGTCTGAATGTTATTGACTATTGAGAGAGGATTGTATGTCATCCAGAAATCGTGAACTTGGAGCTGGGAGCAATAATTGGGAGGATTGAGTTGCCACTTGGGTAAGAGGTGAATGTGTGTTGGGTTATATAAGGAATATTACAAGAAGAGAAAAAGAAGC